TTGCGTCGTGCGGCGGATCCAGTTTTCATTCTTTATGGCAACGGCCGTACACATGCATATGCACGAGATGAGGCGGACCTGGTTGTGCGTGTGGGCGATCTCGAGCTTGAGTTGCAATCGTTGCGGGTGGTGCCGAGTCAAGCTTTTGACCTCATTCTTGGTATGGATTGGTTGCAGCACAATCATGCCAAGTGTGACTTTGAGGCTTTTCCCCCTTGTCTCATACTTCCTTATGTTTCATCCGTTCCTCTCACTTCCGTACCTCTTCGTCCCTCTACTTCTACCTCTGCTTCCATTACTTTTGTTCCCCCATTATTTCCTCTTGTGTTTCCATCTTGTTCTGCTCTTCCCTTTTTCGATCCCTCTGATGATCTTTGTGTTGCAGCTGTTGACCAGCTCATGAAGGAGTATTCTGATCTCTTTGAATTTGACTTATCATCTGGGGCCAAGATTGCCACACGTCATCCCATTCCAACCGGGGATGCTCGTCCAATCAAGGTTCCTATTCGTCATCGGTCACCCAAGGAGATCAAGATTTTACGTGCCAACGTTAAGGAGATGTTGGAGAAGGGTGTTATTCGGAAGTCGCGGAGTCCTTGGGCATGTGAACCTCATCTTGTGACGAAGCCTGATGGGAGTATTCATTTCTGCATCGACTATCGTCTGTTAAATGAAGTGACGATCCCGGACGTGTACCATCTTCCTCACACTGCTGATCTCTTGGATCGTCTGGGGCGAAGTTGTTGGTTCACCAAGCTAGATCTTGCTTCTGGGTATTGGCAAGTACCGATGGCTGAAGACGATATTCCTAAGACTGCTTTTCGTACACCATTTGGTTTGTACGAGTTTTTGGTGATGCCGTTTGGTTTGAACAATGCTCCAGCAACTTTTCAGCGGATGATGGACGAGGTTCTTTGCGATATGCCGGAGGTGACGGCTGACTTCATTGATGATGTCTTGATCCACTCGGAGGGGACGTGGGAGGAGCATGTTCGTGATGTTTGTAAAGTGTTGGATCGGCTACGCGACGTTGGTTTAAAGCTGAAGCGGTCGAAGTGCGTGTTTGGGTCCAAGGACACAACTTATCTTGGGTACCGTATTTCTCGTGAGGGTTTGCAAGTTGATCCTGACAAACTTGTGGCTGTTCTAAAGTTCCCTACTCCGAAGTGTGTGAATGATGTGCAGCACTTTTTGGGTAAGGTGCAGTATCTCGGTCGTTTTGTAGATCATCTTTCCGATCGCACTATACCATTGCGAGCGTTGCTGAAGTCATCAACGTCATCTTTCATCTGGTCTCCCGATTGTGAGCGGGCGTTCGTGAATCTCAAAGAGCTATTGACGACTCCTCCGGTTTTGGCATATCTTGACTACACTCGACCTTTTATTTTGCGCGTGGATGCTTCTGACATTGGTCTTGGAGGTGTGTTGATGCAAGAGAGCTCGAGTGTGCCTGGTCAGCGCCATCCTATTGCATACATAAGCTATACATTACAACCAGCGGAGATGAACTACTCCACGATGGAGAAGGAGTGTTTAGCAGCAGTCTGGGGTTTCGAGAAACTTCATGCCTATCTACATGGTTCTCGGACGTTACTTAAAGGTGACCATGCTGCTGTTACTTCATTATTGAAGCGGAAGAACCTGGTTGGTCATACGGCTCGATGGGCTTTGAAGCTTCAGATATATGATTTCGATGTTGTTCATCGCCCAGGGAGTTCTATGGCTGATGCTGATGCCCTTTCTCGAGCTCCTCTTCCTTCTCCACTCACTTCTCATGTTTCTGATGAACCTATTGTTCCAGCATCTGTGGATTTTCTAGATGAGGATTCTGTGCCGTCGGCGGTTGCTGTCCTTGACGTTCAGTGTCCACAGGGCGTAGAGCAAGATCTACCTTCTCTGGATGAGGTTCGCGAGGCTCAAAAGATTGAGCCGTGGATTCGAAGGCTTCGAGATGGGTTTGAGAATCCTGCATCACTTGCTGATGACTTGCCTTTTCGGCATTTACATTCTCAATATCGCCTTGAAGATGGCCTTCTTTATTTTGTGGGGACGGATCCTGATGCTCATTTACGGCTGGTGGTGCCTTCGGTGTTTATTCCGCGGTTTCTCCATGCCTACCATGATTCTCCTATTCTAGGTGGGCATATGGGACACCGTCGTGTCACCGAGAAGCTGCGCAGATCTTTTTATTGGCCAGAGATGCGACGTGATATTATCTGGTATGTGCGTAGCTGCGTTTGGTGTCAAGCTCGTAATACTCCCCCTTGTGCTGCGGAAGGACGGTTGGAGTCAATTGCAGTTTCTCGTCCGTTTGAGTTGGTGGCGTTTGATCTTATGGGACCTTTTCCTCGATCGACTGCTGGCAATGAGTATGTTATTATTGCTTCTGACTACTTGACTCGTTGGGTGGAAGTTGGTGCTCTTGCTAGTGCCTCTGCAACTGCTGTTGGATACTTCCTCCTCAATCAAGTGGTGTTCCAGCATTCTTGTCCAGAACGGATTCTTTCGGATAATGGTCCTGCATTTATGGCTGAGGTATTTCATGTTTTGACATCTCGGTTGGGGATATGCCACACTTTTACGAGTGCTTATCATCCACAATCAGACGGTCTGGTGGAATGGCTCGTTCGGACATTCAAAGGGATGATTGCGAAGTATGTGAACTTTCAACATTCGGATTGGGATGGTTATTTGCCATCTCTTCGGTATGCTTATGTCACAGGGGTGCAGAGTTCTGTTGGTGCTTCACCATATAAACTTCTATATGGTCATGATCCAATATTACCAACAGAGCTGGGTTTACCTTCGCGATTGCCACGAGCTCCTGATGCTAGGTCATGGGATCAATATTTGACAAGCATTCTTCCACTTGTCCGAGCAGAGTCTGCTAAACACTTAGGCCGCGTACAAGTGGGACAACAATGGCGCTACAATTCCCATCATCGTCCACCAGCGGAGTACAAAGTGGATGATTTGGTGTTAGTCCGTTTTCCCCATCTTACGGTACGTGGTTTATCTAAGGGGCTCCTTGTGCAGTGGAAAGGACCGTATCGGGTGTTGTGGCAAGTTGGACCACAAGTTTATGAGGTTCGGCATGACGTTCAGCAGGCCGATCCTTCGGAGATTGTGCATGTGCAGCGGTTAAAACGCTTCATACAAAGGGATCAGGAGCAGTTAATACCATCTACAGATCCACCGATGCCTCCTCCTGACGTTCCTCCAGATCCCGGCCCATCTACAAGAGAACCCTGACGGCCTTCCATTATTCCGAGAGGAGGGGATGATGTGAGGGCCAAGTGTACGGCTACGATGCCGTATGCTAATATTAGCATAGTGGATTTTGGTAGCCGTTGGATTGGTTTCAATCCAGACCACTCGCTCCTGTATATAAGCTAGGGTTTTTGGGCTAATTGATATGCACATTTCTGTATTCCCTTTCCATATTCCATGCACTCACAACTTTATATAATTAATAAAAATATTTTATCATTTCACTTTTGATTTCATATACTTATAAGTGTTCTTTTTGCAATATTGCCCATAGTATTCATGTGTCTCCATTTCTGTTTTTACCATCTCAAAAAATATTTCATGGTAGTCTTTCGGGTGCATGATATTGCAATGTGTTACGAGAGCATATATACCATTATATTGATCATTGCCATTGTGTCCATTAAAACCTAAAAAACATATAAAGCATTTCTTGAAAGTCACAGAATTGCAATTTTCTAAAATAAATAGAAAAGCATTCTTTTTCACCCAATTTGTAGCACTCTTTGTCATTGCATTTATCTTTAGCTCATGATCACTATATTCACTATCCTCTCTTTCTTTCTTTTGTATGGTTTGGTTATGTTGTGCAATGGGATAACTATTGTATCTTCTAGCCCTTGAACCTTGGGAAGAAATATTTTAAGACTTAAAATTACCATCACTAAAACCCACAGATATTTATGTGTATTCCTCTTTCTTCGAATGAGAGTACAAGTGAAGATCCATAAATTTTAGATAGTATGCTATAATAAATCCCTCAAAAATATTATTCTAAAAAAGAACCAAGTCTCTCTTATATATGCAAAAAACTTATATTAACAAATTTTTTTTCTTTCAAACGGTTATATGGCCTTCTATAGAATCTTAATTCAAATAATTTTTAAATTCTAACAAACCTGACATTTACTAGCCAGAAAGCATAGAGTTCAAATTTAAAGAAATGACAAGAATACTCTTTTTGTAAACATTTTATTTTATGTTCTAAAAAATGTCCCTATCATTGTATATAGTAAATATTTAAATTATTACAACAAGAAATGTCCTTTAGAACATTTTTATCTATATAATATATACAGAGTTATGAAATTATTAGGTTCGCCATAACCTTAAAATTTTAAAGTTTATAATGTTTGTACTAAATTATAATTGAAAATTGAGCTCAACTCATGAGTTCAACTCTTCAGCTCATGAGCTCAAATATGGTCTACATTCACTTTGATATAGTTCTTCCACCACGAAGAAACATGGCTTATAAGCTTCGTCACAAAAAAACAATCTTCACCTTATCCTCACAAGGATTGTGAGACAAACAACTTTCCCACAATTCCTACCAAGAATCAACTTCTTGGCTATCACAAACATCTGGTAATGATTTCCATTCCACGATACCGTAATGCTTGGCATGCTTGACGTATAAATGGTAATTATGGACATGAGATTAATTTAACCCTTGAGGGTTCATGCGAAGCAAGAAATCCTTAATAAGATTGACAAAATCTTTAACCTCCTTTATGTTACTCTTAATTTCAAAAATTTATCATCCTTGCCATACAATGACATCATCAAGAGTCTCTTCTTCATTGTTATAGCCATCATCACTAATGCCTCACCAAGATCAATATTTTGCTCACCCACCATCCCCAAAAGAACATGTTACCCCGATACCAATGAAATGAACAAGAGAGCTAATCCTACCCTTAAGGTGTTCTGGCCTTAAATCCCACATGCTATAGAATATTCTCAGAATATTCTTGTGGTTCATGGTTCCCCATATTGATCATTCCAGTCGCAAAGTCCTGGAAAAATTGCACTTGATCCATGGCATAAGTGTGCACCAACTGCACAACTGTCCAATCACCACCACTCCACAGTGTCTGGTCAGAGTGGAACAATCCATTGAAATTTATCAAGTTCTTGTAGTACTTGTTGTCAAACACCACTGGAGTTTGCAAATCTAGAGGAGAAAGGTTTGAGTCACCACCACTGCTGGGACACTGGCTCCTAAGTGATTGGTTGTAGTAAGGGTCATATAATCTGGTGAAGAGATCAGCGATGGACCATAATCCAAGCTCTTCTATTGTGCCTAGAGCTGAGCATACCGCCCAGCTCTTGCAAAGCTAACAGAAATGTATACCTCATTGCAGTTTAGTGCTGTTGTGAGATGGTGAGCAATGATTATGGCGGCCGCAAGAGATGATAGAATTTCTGCCTCGGTGGTGGAATCTAGAGAACTCGTTGCTTCATCACACAATCTGATGAGAAAACACGTTGTGAAACGTTTAAGGGAACACAACTGACTTACAAGATTCACACGGATTTGAGGAATGCTCTTGCCAGCGCTATCTCTCCTCCAACCATGGTTTCGTATTGCTTTGGAAACTTGAGAATTGACTCATGAATGGCAGCTTGTTTCGTGTTGAAAACAATCTGAGGTAACCATAAGTGGTTAGCAGTGACTCCAATACCTAATTAAAGACTGAGTCTAACATTCTGATCGCCTCGGCGACGCAGCGCCATAGCTTGATCCTCGTGCTTATGCAGCAATTACGTCGCTCCTATCTTTATATCTATTCAAATTTAAAGTAGACTGGACCAGCAGACGAGCTGAACTGAGTGCAAGTAAACAATTGTGATAACCTAAAAAGCTTGACAATCCAGATCTTGTAATAGATGGAATTTGACTAGATACTTGAACAAAGAATGGGAGAAATCTTTACCCATGGGAACAATTACGCTATTGAGGCCCTAGTCTGGTTTAAGATATATTCCAAGTACTTGAAAACAACTTACATATAGAAAACAAGAAGACAAGCTAGAAAGGCTCTTAAAACAAAAAGTTAAGTACTGACAAAGAATATAATTCCCCACATATGATTCAATCGATCTCCTTCCTAGGACAAAGACAATGAAACCAGGAACCTTTTTATACAAAAAAGAAGTCCAACAAACCTGAGATGGATCAATTGAAAAGGCAACACCGAGTAGCCTCTATTTGCATTCCAAGGAGCCAACAATCACCAATCCAGTCAGCAAAATATCAAAAACCTTGCTCTCTAAAGAAAATACTTATGATTCTAGTGTTAGACATCTTGCTGGATCTGGTGCTATCATGCCCATTGAATGTACGAGATGAATATTCTCATCCCCGATGACTAGGTAGCAAATAAGTAAATAGTTCATATTGTAAATCTATAATAAAACAATTTAAATGTTATCTTTACTATTGTGAGTGTATGGAATATTAAAATATGATTAGCTCCAAAAACTTTGCTTATATACAGAAGTGAATTTTTGGGATTGAAACTAATCAAATCACTACCAAAATCCCACTATATTAATATTAATATACAACATCATAATTATACATTTGGACCTCACATCATCCTCTCCTCTCGAAAGGATGAAAGGCAATTAGGGTTCTTTAGTTGATTAGCCAGGATTTGAAGGAACATTAAAAAGAGGCATTGGTAAATTTGTAGGTGGTGTTAATTATTCTTGATCTCTTTATACAAAATACTTTAATTGCTATATATATACAATTTTTGGAGGATTGGCCAATTGAATGTTATACCAAATCTTATAAACTTGTGGTCCAACTTATTGCAACAACTGATACACATTAAGCAAAGAGCCCCTTAAACAAAAATTGGGAAAACAAACTAACACTAGATCATCTAGTTTATACTTTATAAGTGGATGATAATAGGAGTTGTAGTGTTGTTGTTATCAAATTTATATATAACTCAAATGTTCAATAGACTCCACGTGAACTAGTTGAAAAATACTCATAAAATACTAATTCTTACACCTATCATTTGTAGCTCATGGCAATTGCAAAGGTAAATTCAACTTTTTTGGTAGTATCAGATTATAACCATATAAGAATTTATATAATGAAGCACTGATGGAACTCTATACCCCTTGTGACATATGCATACCAAAAAAAGGGTAAATAACCATCTTAATTCAAATGCAAGAACTTCATATACTTTACAGTTATTCTTTTGAAGTTCTAAACAATTTGTTTTAGCAAACCATTCATTTGTGGATAATAAACATTTGTGAAAGTGTGGTGTATCCCCAATTGAGATGTTAAAATATAAAATGCCTTAACCATTAATGCAAGACCATTATCCAAGAGAATCCACTTTGGATAAGAATATTGAAACACCACTTAATTGAGGAAAAAATATTCAATAGTAATTGCAAATGCACTAGTAAAAGCACCAACTTCCACTTAGCGAATTAAATAGTTAAAAGTAATAATGACAAATTCATTATAAATAATTGACTACGTTAAAGGCTCCATCACATCAAATGCCACCAACTCAAATAGATGGGAAATTGCAATTGACTCCAATTATCCTTCTATAGCACGAGGGGAAGTATTACGAGTTTAGCATTAAAAACAGTTATACACATGTTAGATAACATCATGTCATATCTTTGACTAATAGAAAGACTTGCATAGCTTCTCAAACATATGATAATATCCTATATGCCCACCTAAAATAGAAGAATCATGATAAACATAAAAAAAGTGTGGCATAAAGATTAAAGGCACCACCAGCCATAAATAATTATTAGGACCTCTCCCCATAAAATAAAGAAGGTTGTCTTCAAATGCTAAAATGGTAAGTTATCAGCAAGTAATATAGAATTTTCAAACCCATTGCAAAGCTTTCAGATCCATAGTTTAACCTTTTAAACCTTAGGAACTTCGTTAAAAGAATGTAAATCTTGTTCCACACATTGTGGATATTGAACATTAAATACAACAACATCTAATGGCACAGAATTTTCATTTAGAAAATTTATACATGAATATGAGAAGAGAGCAAAGAAGGGAGAAGAACCCAAGAAAATGCACTATAGAATTCACAACTTTGAAATTATATATTTAAAGCTTAAGAGCCCCATTAATTAGTACAACCAACAAAGTTCTTTTATTTCAATAATGATGTAATTGTAGCATGATCATTTTCTAGTAATGTCTGAGAACCATATAAATATGCATGAAGCTTCTCAAAACCTTAAATTACTACTAAATACTCTTCTGTCGTAGAGTAGTTCACCTTTGGTGATTGTAACATATGGCTGATGTACATAATGGGATGATACTGACTAGGCACATCCATACTCTCTTACATCAAGACATTCATGAGACCGATATCAAAAGCATCTACATATAAAATGAATGGTCAAGTGTAGTTAAAATACATTAAAATTGGAGGAGTTGTTAACATTTCTTTGAGATTTATGAATGCTCATTCATAGTCTTCCGACTAAATGAAAGATAATATTGACAACTTCAACAACACTCACAATAGTACAATATGATTAGAAAGATGATCAATAAAATAACTTAAATGCTTCATTTTGCCCATGAAGTATTACACATTATTCATACTCTTAGAATATGAAACTTTAGAACAACCATAAGTTTGTTATGATTAATTTATAAACCCTCACAACAAATATAATACCCAAGATAAATAATATTCTTGGATCTAAATACACACTTTGACCACTTTAGTTAAACTAACTTTCTGCAATTAATCTAACACTTTGCAAATATCATGGATGTGTTCCTCTAATGTTCCCTTTGAGTGGATCAAGACATCATCAATAAAGTTAATTATCACCTGTAACATATTGCAAAGAACCTTATCCATCATTTACTAGAAAGTTGCTAAAGTATTATTCAAACTGAATAACATCATTAAGAACTTATACAAACCATATAGTATATTAAAAATAGTTTTGGGAACATTGTTCTCAGCATTCTCATTTGACACAAAGATTATTAGAGGGGGAATAAAGGAGTAAAACAAAAACACAATAGAAAGTAATGAGAAAATAAAAATAATGGAATCAAAAGTAAAAATAGGGGAGAAACCTCAAAATCACAATTTGCATGATAGCATTGTAACTAATCCATATCAAAGATAAGGTTAAAAATTTGACTCAACACCATTTGCAATGATTGAAGTTTAAACTTGAAATCACCTACATTATCCTTCACCTCCACTAATGTGAATGAATGGAATATAGAAATATGCATATTTGATTAACCCCAAAACTTTAGTTTATATAGAGGAGTAAAAGGTCTAGATTTAAATCAATTTGATAGCTACCAAAACTAAAATATTATTAATTTTTTAGGCTTACTAGCTTTAATATAAAAATTAACTTATGCACACACACACACACACACACACAGATATATATATATATAATTTTGATTAAATAATTAATAATTATTTAATTAGTATATAAATTTAAGCAATAATTTATCTTTGATTATTACTTTGAATTAATTAATTACATTTTTATGTTTAAGTGTATAGCTATGATGCTGTATATTAATATTAGCATAGTGGGCTATAATGTTGTATATTTAGGAAGTTTAATAGAGACTTAAAAATATATTTATTATATATTTAATAATAAATTATATTTTATTATAATAAATGGTAAATAAGCTTTGTGAGTGCTTGGAATATAGGAAGGGAATACGGAAAATGTGCATATCAATTAGCCCAAAAACCCTAGTTTATATACAAGATCGAGTGGTCCGGATTGAAACCAATCCAACGGCTACCATAATCCCACTATGCTAATATTAGTATACAGCATTGTAACCATACACTTGGACCTCACAGCTTGTAAATTATTTTATATATATATATATATATATATATATATCTGTGTGTGTGT